GCACAGCACACTGGATTCAGACAGCCGGGAGATCCTGGAGAAAGATATCTCTCTCTCTCTCTCTCTCTCTCTCTCTCTCTCTCTCTCTCTCTGTCTCTCCCCCCCTCCTCTCTCCTTCTCCCTCTCCCTCTCCCTCTTTCTGTCCTCTCATTCTCGCTCTCTCTCATTTCCTCTCCAGTACAAGTCTGATGACAGAGCTACCCACTCACAGGTCGAACGTGAGGATTACAATGGCTGGGCAGCCAAGGACCCAGCTCATGGCAAATTCTCAATGTTAGCTGCGCTGGCGGTCATGTTCTGACACAGAAGATAAAACTGGGAGGATCTTTCCCAGCCCTTAAGGAGCTCAAAGGCAGTGCGGTAGTCAGAGACTCAAACACACCATGGCCATTCAGAGCCGGGAACAGGAACAGAAAAAGCACTAATTTGCAGCAAGGCTAAGTAACTCACTTCACCTCTCCAAGGTCCACTTAGCCGCAAAATGAGAACTTAATGTTAGGAGCAGAGCACTTTGCTTAGCAAGATATGAGGAGCCTGAAGTCATGTCTGTACCATGCAGCTCTGAACCAGAGCAGTTCACAGTGATGTGCAGGTGGAGAAACAAATATTCAAAAATTAGAACTAGAAGGGAGCACCTGAGATGAACGGAAACCAGCACAAAAGACCAAGCAGCGATTCGCACTGTAAGTGGCAGAGGGAAGGACACAACACGGAGCCCATCACACGCAAGACTCCAGCCCCCCCCACACACACACACACATATCTTGGCGATGTTAATTGTAGCCGATTTCTTAGCTCAGGAGTGAAAGAAGGCTCAAAGAGACACCATGGCCTCCTCAGGCCACGCAAGCAGGATGTGACCGGTGTCTCCATGGCGCTGGCACTGGGACCCACTGTCTTCCTCCACCTCTCTAAAACACTGCCTCATTTTTTACTGTTTTGTATTGAATCACTAAGCAAGAGCCAAGAGTGAGGGAATCTTGCCCCAGGGGGACCCAGCTTGATGCAGACAAAGGTCCCAGCCTTGACTGGCAAGCCGCAGAGAAAGACCAGGAATCTGCACATCAGCCAGGGTTCCCCGCCTGGGGTCAGGGCGGTTTCCGGGTGGGCCCCAGACTCCAGGCAGCGGATAGCGTCCCAACTTAAACTCCTTGGCTCATGTCCTGGGATTGCTGATCAAAGGAATCCTGGGATTTCTACCTATGCTTCAAACCGTGTTTCTTTCACAAAGAAAAAAAAATTTGAGCTGATAGCAGGCCATGGTGCTTTTATGGTTTTTCTCCTCTTAAAACGTACATTTTAAAAGCTGGAAGCTTCCAGGTATTTTGAAATTAAGCTCAACAGCCCAGCAATTTCTCCTTGCCCTACTAACGTCATTCACACTGACATCTAGTGGCCACCGTCGAGAACTGCAAGCTCAAAAGAGCAGGGGTGAAATGGGGTTTCCAGTCCCCAAACCCTTGGAGTCCAGACCCAGGTCCTCTCTCCAAAGTGCTGGGCAAACTGGAGGCAACTCAGCTCCTCCTCTCTCACCGGCCCTCCGCAGCCCCTGCCTGCGTTGCTCAGGACTCGGCCATGTCCCTTCCCCTACCTGGACCCCTCAGCTCATCTGTAAATGTCCAGGTGAAGCCAAATGGCTGCCCCACCCGCAGGTGTTGAGAGATTGGACTTGCTGCGGCTATTGAGTACTTTGTTGGGCTGTGGGTAGAAATAGCCCGGCAGATAACAGCACTAAGGCTAGGTGACGTTTAGGCCCACACACCAAGAGCGACCACAGCAGCTCTCCAGGATGCCGCCTCCTCATCTACTGTCTCCCCTTCCCGCCCTCCTCGACCACAACAGCACCTGCCTCAAGCCTCATCCTCTCATTCTCCCTGAAGCTCACAGTATCCTGCCACAGCGAAGCCGTGTTGCTCTTTTTCTCCAAAACTGCTAAAGCCTGACGTCACCTTCCAGATCAAATTCAAATCCAACGACCTTACACATGCAACGAAGAGCCATGTTCAAACCTTTAGTTTTCTCCTGAAAGTCCCTGGACACCTGTCAACAACCAGGACCCCGGGTACAGCAGGACTGGGCTGGACATGAACGCTCTGGACAAAGCTAGGTAGCAGGGAAGCCCAGGAGGGGACCAGGCTTCACAGCCCTTGGGGATTTATGGCCGTGGCTGTCATCCAGCCAAGATGGATGCACCGTGACAGGCTCACATTGTGGCACCTGTGATTGTCAGCTCTGCTCATGGCCCATTCCCAACTATCCCTGTCCCTCGCTGCCAAGTGCCACACTTTATGGACATGGAGGTGGCTTCTTTGAATCAGACTCCTTTGCCTGGAACCCTCACCCCCATGTTCTCTCCAGTTCCTGTCCTGCAGTCTGAGATCCTGACACACCTGCTCCTGACCTCTGGGGAGAGTCATCTGGGTCATCCCAGCACCTTAGGGCCCTGCCACAGTCTCACTGTCCCCAACTGCAGGCTCTTTGCTGGTTCTCACTGTCTCCACCCCCACCCCCCAGCAAGAACACAGGCCTGCAGCAAGTGATCAACATGCATTTCACCAAAGGAGCTAAAGTGAATTGCAAAGCCAGGAGGAGCCTGTAGCCCATGACTCGGGACAAAGCTGTGAGGCAGAACAGTGACTCAGTGGTATTTCTGTGTGTCACGCAACCACGTGCAGCACGTAAGTCAGCCTCCACAGTCGGTGGCCAAGCATATGTCCCAGGAGGCTGTGACCCTTCACTCTACAGCACATTCAAGGATACTCAACAATTTTATTCATGCCTACTGTTGTGACATGTGTCTAGGTGTCCCCCAAAGCCACATGTTCTTATAAGCAGGGATTTTCAGAGCTTGCTGTATCCAGGGCATGTGATACTGGACTTAAGGGTGTGGGGTACTAAATTATTCCATTGGTTAGAACTGGCACCATTCTGGGTGTGGCTGAAAGGATTTACTGGAGAGAAGCCCCGCCCTGGGTGTGGGTCACAGCACCCAAAAGGCTGATAGCTTGGATGCAGTAAAAGGGAAGGCCAGGCTCACTGCTTCTGCTGTCACTTGCTACTGACTGCTTCCTGCCTGCCACACCATGAGCTCTTTCTCTTCTGATTCCCCTCTGCTATGGTGCCCTGCCTTGGAGCCAGTTGGCTATGACAAAATAATGGTATGCGTGGAAGTCCTAACCTCTCCATGTCTTAGTGGAACCACACTGGAGGCTGCTTGGGGGGCCATGTCCATCTAGTCTCTGGACAGATGTCTGCACAGCAGCCTCATCAGAAGTGGCAAGAGCTCTAGGTTCCCATCAAAGCCTGGTTTGTATTCCAAAAGCAGGAAACCATCTCAGAGACCATGTATTCTAATCTCTATAGAAGAAGAGACAGAGGGAGGAAAGAAGGGAAGAAGAGGGGAAGAAGGGAGGAAGGGGAGGAAAAGAAGGAGGGAGGGCTCTTCATGGTATCCTCTGTAAATGGCAAATAAAGATCTACAAGAAGGTCCAGGATGGAGGATCTCAAAGGGGACATCCTGCAATGTCTACAGGGAGCTGTTATTGGCACCAGTAGTGGTGCTCAGTGGGTAGAAGCCAGGGATGCGGAAACCATCTTCTAATGCCCAGGGCAATCCACACAGCAAAGAACTGACCATAAGCCAAGAGTGCTGAGACCAGAAGCCCTTGGTCTTGGAGGGCCTGGCCCACTTCTCCCTGCTGCTTTGAGCTGCATGCGCTTGAGCGGCTCCTCCACCTCATGGGAGCTCCCTTCTATGTAAAGGTATAAAGTCATTCACTTGTTGATTTGTTCATCCGCTTAAGAGGAATTTTTGAAGCAATGGGGTTGGGGAGAAGCAGCAATGAAAAATGGCCCACATAACCTCAAAGAGCTGAGCAGAACGCCTTCTGTAGCACTTCGAGGCACCCACAGACCCCAGGGAGCCGCGCCAAGGCCCAGATGTCTCCATGGCCCCTGAGACAGGCTCCTTCCCTTGGAGGAGATCGTGATGCGGCTGCTGACTGTGCTTCCCCTCTCCTGAGATGCATGGGGTTTTCTCTTCCATGTTCTAACCTCCATGAATGCAGTGTGTGCATCAAAGTAACGTGCGTCACACCTGCTGCCAGCCAGCAGGCAGTCACCAGCTCTTGGCCTGGGGGCTGTGTGTGCCAACAGTCAGCGGCACTGATTCCTGGTGGTAGTGCTGTTGCCCGCTCAATGCTGCAGTCCAGAAACCAAAGGACAGTTGTTCACTGGAGGCTGTGATGCCCCTGCGCTTGGGCAGCTCCTCAGGAGCAGGGCCCACTGGAGCAGGCTTGGGTCCAGCTGGAGCGCTCCTACTGGGGAGAGCACCATGCCCTGGAAGCCTGTGGCACCCAGCCCTGCTGCTCCACCCTGCTCTTGCCTTATGGAGGCAGCCAGCAAGCCTCACACTGTTCCCAGTGAAGGGAGGGCTTCATTTCTCGGGCAGCACATTGAATTGGCAAGATCTTAAAAATGCTCTTCCTTGGGCTCCACTCCAAATAAATTACCAAGAATCCCTAGAGACAAGCCCAAGCCCAAGCACCCATATATTTTTAAATCCTCCAGCCCAGAGATGTGGATCTGAACAGGGGGCCCCTAGGCACAGCACCCAGGTTGAGAGCCATGGTGAAAGCCCCCCTGCATACTCAAAGGACTTCTGCCTCTCCAGCACCCCTACAGCATGGGGGTCCCTGTGGATGCACGCAGAGCCCTCTGGAGATGCTGGACACAGGCTGCACACAGACACAAAGCCAGAATTCATGTGCTTGGCCCCAGCCTCAGAAGTTGCTGAAGTCCCGCGGGTGAAGTCAACACCTCAGGTGTCACACTGAGCCAGTGGTCAGTCTAGCTATGGTGGGACCTCTGTCCCCAACTCTTGCAGCACCTGATGGCACCGTCCACATCCCTAAAAGGGGTCACTGTGCACAGTAGCCAAGCTGCACGTATGTAACTGCAGATGCATCACCGTGGTCTCCTTCCTGCCAGTCTGCTCACTGGCAACCTACCCCTCCCACCCTATTACAACACCTCATAAATCAGAGGCGCAAAGAAACAGAAGGATCCGTATTCACCGTGCAGGGGACCTTCCAATCATACAGTCATGCAGTGAATGTGCCAGACTCAAAAGCAGCAGTGAAGGTCCTCTGGAATCTGAAGCTCATTATTATACAACAAGAGGTTCCCCATGAGGTGGAGGAACTAAGCCAGAAGTAGAAACAATAGGACACTTCCCACGGAGGGAAGTTTTTAATGCCAAAAGGTGAAGCTCAGTCCACAGCTACTCAGCAATGCATAGTGGAGGGGAACACTTTATTACGGACAGCTCTCTGAAGGAACTGTCCTGGTAGGACCTGCTGTGGGTCAGGCTCCAGAACAGCTCAGGGTAGGACGGAGACTGGCAATGACCTTTACAGCCACATCTGATAGAGTTGAGCCCATTTCACACATGTGCCTGGCATGTCATTGCGGGTGACGGACCACAGCTGGCTCTACAGCTCCAGCGTCCTCCGCTGACTGTCTACGCAGGCCCAGCATGGTGGACGAGGCATCCGTGGGATTCCCAGTGACCAACATCCAGTAGTTCTTTGGCTTCTCAGCTCTGTGTGAATCCAGATGTGTGTGAGCAGCAACCTCAGCCTCCTTCCCAAAATAGGTCCTGCAGCAGGAAAGATTGGGAAACTGAGTCACAGCCCACAACCTTCCTTCCACCTCAACACACCAGTGCAGAAGGCTGCATCACAGGCCTGGAGCCTCTAGCACACACAGTGTATTTGCAGGAAGGGTGCCCTGTGTGGGGCTAGGGTTAGGCACGAAGGGTCCTCTTCTCCCTAAAACCCTCCTGAGGGGAAGGACCTGTGTGAAGGGTGCAGCCTCAGCAGGGACCTTCATGCCACCACGTTTCCAAATGGCAACATCTCAGGACCAAGAGAACATTATCTTCTCACAATGTTATTTGTTCATTTAAAGACAGAGTCCTTTTTTTAGCATTTTAAAGTAAAAATACTTTTATTTATGTCTTTTAAGGATGTGTGAGTAATCTTTCACAAAAGGAAGAATTACAATGGAGGCTTCAGCTAATTTTTTGATTGAATTGTTGGGTTTTTTTCTTTTTTTTTTTCAAAGTTTTATTGATAAACAGATAGCAATGAGACAGTTTCAAATCCAATCAGAAGTACAGTTTCAACAAATAATACACTGCATATATTCTT